TTTCAACTCAGCTCCGAGGGATGAGCTGGTATCAGCCAGAGGAGAGAGTAGGGGTAGGGCACAGATATGACAGAAGCAGCAGGATGGTCAATATTCCAGGCAGAAGTATATCCAAGGCCTATAAGTGAGTGACTATGGTGTGATGAGATCGCAAGAATTTCAACATGGCTGGAACAGAGATTTTTATGGGAAAAAAGAGAAGTCAAGGTGAAAAGGCAGGTAGGAGCCAATTCATGAAGGAACTTGCAAACCATGCAAAGGAGTTTGGACTTTATCATAAGGAATCCATCCTTTCTAAAACCTCTAGGACTATATATATGGAACTGGAAATTGCAGGCTGAATATGCTCCTTTTCACTGGAATACAATGGGCAGCAAGAGAGATGAAGATGAAAAGGCTAAAGTTAAATGACCATTTATTAGAGGTGATAAAGAGTCTAATTCTGGATTAAAAGAGTCCCTCAGGCCATTTTTAACTCATATTTCATAACTCTAACTCTTAAACTGTAACAGTATTAGAATAAAAATTAAGCTTAACAAAATGTGATTTGTTATTTATAAATTATTTTTGTAGGGAACACTATATACCACTGCATACATATTAAATATTAAAATTCCTGGCTAGTAGTTCTTAATAGTGTATGTATGAATATGTGTCACAGTAGTACGAACAGTGAAGTTCTGCAGGTAGATTTTGGAATTCTCTCCTAAATTGCTTACAAATTACTGCTTTGATAATGTACAAAGTCATTCATAGTCATTGTAAGTGCTGTGTTCCAACTTGGAGCCTCGAACCTGTCTTCTGCAACTTCCAGGATACAGAAGAGTACTGGAACTGTAGTTACGCAAAAGGCACCAGGCTTTAGGTTTTACAAATTATAGCTTAACCATGTGACATGTTATCAAATTTCACTTAGTACATTGTGATTCCAAATGTGCTGGTCTTCTTTGTCTTACTAGATTATTTGCTTTTGGAAAGCAAACAAAGTGATTATACTTCCACTAATAAATGGGCCTTAAATATGTGTCGCGAACTATGCTGCATATTTTCTAGAGTGTTTGATAGTCGTGAACATATTTAGTGTGAACTTATGAGAACCATAAAAGACATTTAAATATAGTCACTACATATTACAGCTTTCTAAACTCATGTTTGTTAAATATATTGCTTAGGAATTGTACTGGGTTGAATAGGGTCCCTCACAATTCATGCCTACCCAGTTCCTGTGAATGTGACCTGATTTGGAAATAGGGTCTTTGCAGATATAAACAGGTTGAGATGAAGACACACTGGATTAGGGTGTGCCTTACATCCAGTATGACTGGTGTCCTTTTAAGAGGGAAATTCGTATGCAAAGACAAATGCATGGGGAGAACGCCAAGTGGCTACGGAGTCAAAGGCAGTGATACATCTATAAGCCAAGAACACCAAGAATTTCTGGCAACCACCAGATACCAATATTAGTCAAGATTTTCCCCTAGAGCCCACCTTACATCTTGACTTCAATTTCAAGCCACTAAAAGTGTGGAAAATAAATTTCTGTTGTTTTAAGGCACCAAGTTTGTAGTACTTTGTAATGGTAGCCTCAGGAAACTAATATCAGAACCCCTTGTGCCCTCCTCATTGCTTCCCATATTTCCTTTATATTGTGGTTCACTCAATAGACCTCGATTTAATGGACATGACAGATTAACCCTTTTCTCTGTTAAATAAATTGTCTGAGGGTAACATTTTACTCTCTAGTTTCTATACAGTTCTCCTTCCATCAAAAGAGCTGTGTGCTTACAGCCCAGAGCGCTTAGTATTGTTATTACATAATGTAATCGAATATTACATAAACTGATGAAATATGAATGGAAAAGGAAAGATGGCTGTTGCTTCCATGAAAACTAAGTTGGAGACTTTAAAAATGTTTCTTTTGCCGGGGGGGGGGGGGGGCCGCCGGCCGGTGGCCTTAGGGAACTTTTTTTTTTTTTTTTTTTTTTTTTTTTTTTTT